TATATATATATATATATTCAACACAAAAACATCTTTTCTCTACTTAGTCCGTTCAATATACACTAAGTATACTAGCACAAGAAGTCGGAGTAAAATCACTCCAATATTCAAGACAAATTGTACTATAATCTTGTGCTACAATCATCAAGATAGTTTGCCCAATAATATCTTCGATTGTGAACATAGTTTATTAATTATGAGAATCGACAATTTAATCTTCTTTGCCGGAGCTAAGACTCCATACACTAAATTGTCTACTACATAACTAAAATGACACAAAAATAAAAAATGATCTATTTAAAATAGTACTTTATTAAATAGAATAAATTAAATAAACAATTGTTCTATAAAAAATAAAATAAAATACTATGTCTAAACCGCATGGTTAATCAATTGGGACTCCTCTTTCTCTGTATGCCAGGCATCTTCCATCCTTTAGTTTGAAGAAACAACCCTCTGCAATTCCCTGGCCAACTTTGTGTTTGTTGAGAATCAGAAAACCCCACGAAACTGCAATTTTCTTGAAAACCATCTCCAAAAGGATATGAAAACTAATAGAAGCAAGCCTACAAGTTTCCTTAAAGAAATGGTGGGATTAATTTGGGCTGTCACTGAAGGCTTAGAAGTTGCTATTATTTTGTAAGTATTATCAGTGTTTACGATAACAAATTGCAATCTCTATATCTATCCAAGGGTGTGAGTCAGATGGTTGAGATTCAATCCCTCTAACTAGATGTCTCGATCCGATAATTGGCTCAGTGAGTTTTAGAAAAGGAGAAGAGAGCCTCTGTTTTTCCACAAAATAAGTCATGAACTGATTATTCACGCTCAGCAGCAAAATCTAATCCACATTACCGTACTAAGATAACAAACAAATATACATCAAACGACGCGTGAAATAACTCCAATAGAACAATATTTTTTTGTTTATCTCTCAGACCTCACTGCATGTATCTCATAAAAATTACTGCAAACATGTTATAATAGATTTATACAACACTAATATTATAAAGATGACGAACCATAGTAGCGGAGAAGATAGAGACTTAATAATAACAAGTCTTAAGAATTTTTCAATCAGTCCAGCCATACGCTAGCTGTGATCCTCCTTTTTTATATGCACTAAATTTCATATAGGCGCCTTTGACCTCTACACATTTGAACAGTTCTGTAGCATCCAGCTATAGGCCAATATCTTCCTTCACAATAGGGATTTGTCACATTACCAATTTAAGCCTTTTCTCTCATTTTAATCAAGGAATTAGCTTATCCACACATGTTGCCACGTTTAGACGTGAAGTACGATTAAAAGANATAGTCACGATTTAATATGATTTGTTTAGCCAAAAAAGAAAAAGAAAAAGTAGTATGTCAAATATATTGATTGATTAAACTAAGAGAAGCTGAGTTAGTCGACGAGACCTATAAAAATAAACCTCCAACTGAAAAATTTGCAAGTACAACATGAAGATGGACATCCAGCTCATGTATAGGCTGCTCTATTCTCTCCCAATCCCAGTAATAATATTTCTGTTGCTTCTGTTCTTCATCTATTTCCACCCGTTCTTTTCAAAACACAGTAGTTCAAAATTGAGCAAGCAGCCGAAGCAGCTTCCTAAATCCTACCCATTGTTTGGTTGCTTGTTCTCATTAGCGCAAAATAGGCACCGAGCAGTCCTGTGGACATCAAAACTCTTCCAAAAATCATCTTTATCAACCATCACCCTTAAAGGGCCCTTTGGTAAAAAATGCGTCTTGACAAGAAACCCCTCTATTATCAAGCATATCGTTAAGACACATTTTCACATTTATCGCAAAGATCCTATCATGCAATTTGTTTTCTCAGACTTGTTAGGGGATGGACTTTTACTTGTAGATGGCGAGAAATGGAAAACCCAAAGGCATTTCCTCAGTCATATATTCCACGCGGATACATTTCGTTATCGAATAAAATCAGCCACCATTAAAGAGCTCTCTGGCCGTCTTATTCCTTTATTCTCCAGTGCAACTATAGATAAAGCTACTCTAGACCTCCAGGACATATTTCATCGGCTTACATTTGACATTCTATGTCAGGTAGGTTTTAGCCATGATCCAGAATACTTGTTACCATCTCTCCCTAGGAAACCATTAATAGACGCTTTTGAAACTGCAATAAAGATCAGTATGGGAAGGTTCACTTGCCCTTCTATCTTGTGGAAAGCTAAAAAGCTTCTCAACATTGGATCTGAAGAGAATCTCAGGTATGTAGACTAGAGGCAGATTTAAAATTAGAATTTGATATGTTCAACCTTTAGGTTTCCTTGAATATAATATGTTCAAAATTTCACTACTCATGAATATTTATTGATATTCAAGCAATTATATTTTTCTCATACGTACATTTATATATGTTCTGAATCGGCCTTTGCAGGTATGCAGTTGATGTACTCAGAGAATATTTAAAGAAGAGAATCGCGGGAAAGGTGGAGAAGTTTTCGATGCAAAGCACTTCCATAGATGAGGGAGGCGATTTTCTTGACAGATTTATAACAAGGGCTCTCAAATGCAATGTAGTAGTCGATGAGAAGTTTGTCATAGATACAGGTATTAATTTCATCCTGGCTGGTGATGACACGCTGTTTTCAGCTTTAATATGGTTCTTTTGGCTAGTCTCGAGTCATCCACAAGTAGAAAACGAGATTGTCAAAGAAATCAAAGAGAAAAATGATGATGATTTGAATGAAATGGTGTATACACATGCTTCGATTTGTGAAAGCATGAGACTTTACCCACCAGTCCCCCTTGAATTGAAGCAAGTGACCGAAGACGATGTTTGGCCGGATGGAACAAAGTTGAAAAAGGGAATGAGCATTTTTCTCCATGTTCATGCAATGGGGAGATCAACAGAATTGTGGGGTTCAGATTATGAAAGTTTTCGGCCAGAGCGTTGGTTGGTGAAAAACCTCAGTACAGGAAATTGGAATTTTATCCCAAGGGATCCTTTCACATATCCGGTGTTTCAAGCAGGACCAAGGACTTGTCTTGGAAAAGAAATTGCTTTCATGCAAATAAAGCTGGTGGCAGCTACTATTTTAAAGAGGTTTCGGATCGTTCCTTTAGACGGATTTAGTCCTGTCTACAACTCGTCATTGACATCAAAGATGAAAACTGATTTTCCTGTACGAATTATACAACGTTGCTAGCTACTTTTTCAATTATATAATTGACAATTGTATGTATATTCAACATTTCATGTGTATCTATCAAACTTTCTGATTTTATATATATATACACTTCATTTGTTGTACGCTTTCCTATTTATACCATGTTGATTTTTAGAGCATTATGTATGTTGATTCAATGATACATATAACTAGAATTTAATCTACTCATTGACGATATTAAAAATGTTTCCATAATCAAGCCACTGTAAGGTTGGACTTTAAATTATATACACTGCCAATTATTTATAAAAAAAAATACAATCAATGTATATTAGCATATTGTAGCAGGTCACTACTTACCTTATTTTTTTGGATCGATAATCCACACTCATCATATGAAAAATGGCAGCTTCCAAGTATGAGGATCAGATATGAAAAGGCTAATTTGTTTCAAACCAAAAAAAAAAGGCTAATTTGTTTGTAAGCCGAATGTATAGAGAGCATAGATAGAATGTGAGAATGCGCGATTTGCAGTCGTATCCTATATTTATGTCACCTTTTAATCTATACCCTATTTTTAAAAATTATTGATTTCGTAATCAACTAACAAAAAATTTGTAATAATATGACCATTATACCCCTAACAAAACATATAAAAGATGCATCAATCATACCCAGATTCAAATTCCAGATCTCCTCCGTATCTCCTCCATCAGTCCGTCTCTCTTGAGATCGCCTCTCGCAAACCAGATTTGAACCAGATTCAAATTCCAAATTCAAAATTACAAAATACATTGTAAGTATTCAAATTCATCTTCAGAATTCAAAATAGCTTTTGAATTATATGTTTTCTGATTGATTGATTGATTGAAGTTGTTTGATGAACTTCACTGATATACTGAATTTGCATTATAAATTTGTTTGACGTTGAATTCTAACATTTTAATCCGACAAATATGCTGAAATTTTTTGTTTATTTGCTAAACAAGCTGAAGTTATTTAGTTCATATCTAAAGAATGCAGCAAAACGAGCTGGCAAATAACAATCAGAAAAAACTTCAACACCTATTATACTGGTTAAAAAAAAATTAAAATTTTATATTGTACAAAAAACTTCAGCATAGGTGCTGAAGTTTTTTAGTTAATATTTAAAAACTTCAGCAGGAGGAGCTGAAGTTTTCCTATTACACTGGGTAAAAAAAAACATAAATTAAAATTATATATTGCACAAAAAACTTCAGCATAGGTGTTGAAGTTTTCAGTTAATCTTTAAAAACTTAAGCAAGAAGAGCTGAAGTTTTTCTCCTACACTGGGTAAAAAATAAAACATAAATTAAAATTTCATATTGCACAAAAAACTTCAGCACATGTGCTGAAGGTTTTTAGTTAATCTGTAAAAACTTCAGCCAATGGAGCTGAAGTTTTCATCCTGCATTATGTGTTTTATTATAATTTTTTGGAAAAACTTCATACCAAAAAATGCTTATATTTTCAGGAATATGTAAAACATTTTTCATATAATTTTTTGTATGCTGAAGTTTTTTTAGTTCATCTGCTAAAAATGCTTAATATTTTGTCGTGCAATATGTAATTTTCGGATATGTTTTAGTTCATGCTTGAAGTTTTCATCAAGCACTGTGTATTTTATTATGATTTTTTGAAAAAACATCATACCAAAAAATGCTTAATTTTCGGATTAGTTTTTGTTAATTCCTGCTATAGTTATTTAGTTCATTTCCTCTGCTATTTTTCGAGTTTGAATATAATTAATATTAAAAAAAGCACAAAAAACTTAAAAGATAAATTACAATACATAAATAACAAAAAGAAAAACTAATCGTCCATATCATCATCATCATCGTCGTCGTCACTACCAGATGGACGAGCTTTTTCATCAGCAAGATTATCAAATCTTGCATACATCACAAGCGTATCAAGCTTGTTGTTAATTTCTTCCAGCTCCCTGTCGTACTTGTCTATGAGCTCATCCAGTTTCAGCTCAAAAGCCTCTATAATGTCTTGCTTGATTTCTTCCATTATTTGCCTGATGACAGCATCTATTTTTCTCCTTTTTGTATTTTATGTCTACTAAAATATATGTGTTTGAGTGAATAAACTCACAAGGTATAGCGTGCTTATATAGAGGGAAAAAATTCAGCATGGTATATGAAAAGGCAAAGAGGAATTTTAAACGTTGTCTAATGAAAATCGTGCATGAATATGATATGAATGTAATTATTACACTAACATATACCCCCAACGCAATATAATTACTACTCTAATTATGTAGGTTACTCCTGTATAGTATGCAATTAATGCTGAAACATGCTCAAGTTTTTTGAATTCATTTGCTAAAACTTCAGCCCAATGTGCTGAAGTTATTTAGTTCATTTCTAAAATCTTCAAAACTTAATGAGCTGAAGCTTTTTTTCCCTGCATTCATGAATCCCTGTCATACAGCTTTTTCGAAAAAAGCTTATTTCTAAAAACTTCAGCACTTAATAAGCTGAAGTTTTCTGTGCAGGATTCATTAATTATGTCATACATCTTTTTCCAAAAAATTTCAGCAGAAGATGCTGAAGTGATTTAGTTCATTTGTAAAAATTTCAGCACAAACAATCTAAAAATTCTTCTGTTCACTTTCCTAATACTTGCCACTAAACATGAATCTGCAGGATGAGTTCGATTTGCGTTGTTATAACTTTCAACGGGAGTTGGACTCCTGATTTCAAATACTTGGATCATGATACAAAACTTGTTCTACTTAATAAGCACATATCATTCAATACTTTCCTGAAGAAAATTAGTGAAGTTGCAAATATTGATTCAACCAGATATGCACTAAAAGTATGGTTTGATATCAAACTAAATATAAGCAAAGGAATGCTTGTAACTTCAGATGAAGAACTCAGTACCTGTATAAATTTGCTTACAACTGATTCAGCCTACAAGAATTGCCATTTCATTATCAAAAAAATACAACCTTCAGAATCTGCAACATTCAAACAATCTCTTGCATATGCGATAGATTCAGAACCTTTTGCTGATTATCAACATGAAGTAGGACAGCCAATAAGGGAAGTAGACAACGAGCAACAACCTTCTAACATTACAGCTGCTTTAGAATATATAATGTTGCAACAATTACCTCCTCCTCCAATAAATTCATACCAGTTTGTCGATGACCAAGAAGAAGAAGGACAGCTAATAATGCAAATTGACAACCAACACACAATCCAACAAAGCTTTTTGTTACCTTCTGCAACGATAAGCAACAACGAAGATGAAGTAAACATGGAGCTTATACCGATAACATCAGATAGAATTGAAGAAATTGCTGAAACTTCTTGTGCTTCTCAGAAATCAAGAAAAAGAGTGAGGAGAAAGCTGAAAGAATCTCCACCATGTAAAATACTTAGGCACGATGCGTTGCTTGAGGAAGTAAGAGTTGGATCAACTTTTGAGAACAAATAAAACATGACTAAATTTTTCTGCAGCTTGGAGATAAACCAGAAAATTGAATTCACTGTTGTTAGATCCTGTTCAAAGAGATACGAGAATATCATAACATCCATGAATGCTCGGTTGATGCAAGAAAATCAGATCAGAAGCATGCTACATCAAATTTTATAAGTGAACAAATTAACATGCTCGAGACAAAAAGATAGAGGTTACACCAGCCTTTGTAGAAAATGAAATGAAAAAGAAATTTGGAATTGACATTGGTTATCACAAGGCATGGCGTGCTATTCAAAAANAAAAGATAGAGGTTACACCAGCCTTTGTAGAAAATGAAATGAAAAAGAAATTTGGAATTAATATTAGTTATCACAAGGCATGGCGTGCTATTCAAAAAACTATTGCTTGCATAAAGGGAACACCTGAAGAGAACTACCAGATTTTTCCTTCATACCTACACATGATGGTGGGTAAAAACCTAGGAACGTACACAAACATAAAAAGAGATGCGCAGAATAGTTAAGCAAAACAATGCTAACCATCAGCTTGAAGTTTCAAATGTTCCTATTTGAAAAACTTCACACCTTATGATTTGTTTTTTTGTGTTTCACTGTACAGATTTGCTTACATGTTCTTTGCTCTTGTGGCATCAGTAACTGGTTGGTCCTACTGTAGACCAGTTATTGTAGTAGATGCAACGTTTTTAAAGTCAAAATATTGTGGTGTTCTATTTGTCGTTGTATCAAAGGATTCAAACAATCAAATCGTTCCTCTATGTTTTGGTGTAGCAGATTCAGAAAACAATGAGGCATACATTTGGTTCTTCGGGGAAATGAGAAAAGCAATTCAAGTCCGTCGTGAACTGGTTTTCTTGTCAGATAGAAACCAATCAATCGCAAATGGGATTAAAAAAGTTTTTCCTGAAGCTCACCATGGTATCTGCATCTATCACTTTGAGAAAAATTTAAAGCAAAGACATGCAAAATCCACGGTAATAAATCTTTTTCAAAGTGTTGCAAGGTCATACAAACGTGAAGATTTTAATCAGTTAATGTCCAAACTCAAAAGTTTTGACAAGAAAACTTACAATTACATAATGGAAGAGCCTCCAGAGAGATGGGCTCGATCGTTGTTCCCACGGTGACGTTGAATCAACAATACACTAATATAGTTTGTCTTAATTTTTTATTCCTTGTTAGGTGTTCAACCTTGACT